CAAGGCACCTCACGGGAACGGGGCCTTCCCGTTTGGGACCCCGCCCTCCTCCCACGGTGCTGCTGGCACATGCTCTCCCAGGGAAAACGGTGCCCGACTCAGAGGCTGAAGAACATAGACCCAGCTTCGGCTCCCTGTGGGTGAATTAGGACCGGAAATCCTCTCCCTGGTGGGAATACAGTTTGAACTCTGGGACCCAGAGGTTCGGACCTGCAGACAGATCCCCTGCCACCAAGGGCTAGCATTGCCCGGGGCACAGAAGGGTTATACGTGAACAGCCACTAAGGTGTGTGTGCCTCCAGGGCGGATCGGTGTCCTAGAGGGCAACCCTCCTCCCAGGAGGAGGCCGGCGCCCAACCCAGGTGGCGTTCCTGTGCAGGAACCCCCCACGGCATCCAGTCCGGGAGCCTGGTGGCTTGTGGTCTGGCCTGCTGGCAGAGGCCCAGGAGTAGCTGCGGAGTTGGGGAGGTGGAAGAAGTGAGCCTGCTGCAAGACTGCGGGTCTCAGACAGCCCCCACTCCACACCAGAATTCGGCTGAGCAGGACCATTCCAGCCCCGCCCTGACAGCTTTCCCTGGAAGCAGAGAAACAGAACTTTGACTCCTGCTAACGGCCTGAGGGCAGGCTACCCAACCCAGCTCCGCCCAGAACGAGAGCTCATAACAGGACTCAGATTCAACACCCATAGCCTGTTCCTCCAAGCAAACGCCACCTACTGACGAGGGACGGCATTTTGCACAGCCTTTCCACGGACCCACAGACTCACTATAACAGGGAGTGTAATTCACCCACAGCACCACCTAACGCCTCAGAACATAAACAAAGGTGTGTGAATACCCAAACAATAACTAAGGAGAAGAAAAACAACAACTGATCGACATGGGAAGAAATCAGCGTAAGAACTCAGAAATATGAAGAACCAAACGAAAACACACCCCCAAAGAGGAGCACCAGACCCCTAGAAACGGACACCAAACAAAATCAGGCAACTAATATGACAGAAGAGGAATTTCGTATGTGGAACATAAGAACACTCACCCAGCTGCAACAACAACTCAATAACCAACACCAAGAAACCACAAAAAAGTCTCCAGGATATGAGAAAAAGAAATATGACACATTTGAAGAAAAAGTGTAACCGAACTCCTGGAAATGAAGAATCGAATTCAAGGAACTACAAATAATACAGTGAGAAAGTATCAAGAACAGGGTAGATGAAGCAGAAGAAGAATCTCAGAGCTTGAAGATAACACCTCCAATAAATAAATCAGGTCACAGAAATAGAGCAGAGAAACAAGAGAAAAGAGCAAAGGCTACAAGAGCTGTGGGATTATGTGAAGAAACCTAATGTGACGGTCATAGGGGTTACAAGAAGGAAGAAGACAACACTCAAGGGACAAGTTGTTTGAAGATATAATAGAGGAAAATTTCCCAGGCCTTGCTCAAAATCTAAATATACAAGTTCAAGAAGCTCAGAGGACCCCTGGGGAGATTCAATGCAAACAGGAAGACGTCCACGACATGCAGTCATCAGATGACCAAAGTATCAACTAAGAGGCCCTTCTAAGAGCTGTAAGACCAAAAGAAGCAAGTAACATACAAGGGAAGCCCAATTCGAATAACATCAGACTTCTCTAATGAGACTTTACAAGCAAGGAGAGACTGGGGCCCCATTCTCACTCTTTTGAACAAAACAATGCCCAGCCTAGAATATTATCCCTGCAAAACTAAGCTTCATATATGAAGGAGAAATAAAAACATTCGTCAGACAAGCAAGGCTAGAGAATTCACCAAGACAAACCAGCCCTACAAGAAGTAACTTAAAAACAGCGTTCATGACACGGAACCATCATTAATAAACACAAGAATATTATAAAAACCAACCAAAAACACAAGGATAGTAAAAGCCAGATATTACAATGCTAAACAGAAATCATAGCAAACAAATCCAACCCAAAGAATGATCGAGTAATACCTTACATCAGTCTTCAATAAATGTGAATGCTTAAAACTCTCCACTCAAGAAGACATAGGCTGGCGATGGATAAGAAATACATACAGGCACACGTTATGCAGTCTTTACAGGAAACACAGTCAAACCTACGAAGGATGCATATAGACTAAAAAAAAGGGTGGAGATCAACTTATATCCAACAAATAGAACCAAAAGAACGGCTGAGTGGCACGTTCTAATTTCAGAGATATTATGTTTTAAACCAACAAAAGTAGTAAAAGACAAAGAATGGTCATTATATAATGGTGAAGGGCACAGTCCAACAAAAGAGATAACAATCAATAAAAGAAAATAATGCACTAAAATTAGTGAACCCACATCATAATCGCAAACCTTACTGAAGCTAAGCAATATGAGATAATAATGCAAACTCCATAATCGCGAGAATTTCAACACTCCCCATGACGCTAACGAGACAGACCTCCAAACAGAAAATAATAAAAAAATAATGGACTTAAACATAAACTCTAGAACAATTTGGGTTACTGAACAGACATACTACAGATAACATTCTACCAAATCCACATGAATATACGTCTACTTCTCATCAGCTTCACGGGCATTCTCCAATAATGATTCTTTTTAGGGTCGGCGGAGGGGAGGGGGAGGCAATATGGCGCCTGCCGCCCGGCTCGGGTCCGTGCACACGGAGGTGCCCGGAGGAAGTTGGGAACCTGGTGCCACGTCTGCTACAGGCTCACCATTGGCAGGCGGCGGCAGTCTCTGGGCTGGTGTCCGCAGGTCTTTCCACCCGCTGGGGAGCTCCTTTTTTATTTCTGATTGAGCTTATTTGAATCTTCTCTTTTCTTGATTAATCTAGCTAGTAGTCTATAAATTTTATTTTTCTTTACAAAGAGCTAACTCTTTGTTTCATTGATCCTCTGTGTGTTTTTGTTTCAATTTTGTTTAGTTCTGCTCTGATCTTTGTTTTTTCTTGTGTTCTGCTAGATTCAAGTTTGGTTTGTTCCCATTTTTCTAGTCTTTAAGGGGTGACTGTAAGTTGTTAATTGGTGATCATTCTATATTTTTTATGTATGCACTTTTTGATATGAACTTCCCTTTAGTGCTTATTTTTTTTGTATCCCAGAGATTGTGGTAGCTTGTGTCACCATTGTCATTCAAGTAAAAAAATATTTTCATGTTCATCTTGATTTCTTCATTAACCCAGTGATCATTCAGTAGTAAATTGTTTCATTTTCATATAGTTGTATAGTTTTAAGAGTTTTTTTTAGCACTGATTTCTAGTTTTATTCCATGGTGGTCTGAGAAGATGCATGGTATGATTTCAATTTTCAAAAATTTGCTGAGTCTTCTTTTGTGGTGAAACCTATGGTCTGTCTTGGAAAATGCTGCATGTGCTAATGAGAACAAGGTTTATTATGCAGTTTGGGGGGAGAATGTTCTGTACATATCTGTTAGGTTCACTTGTTCTAGAGTCCCAGTTAAGTCTGATAATTCTTTGATGATTTTTCTGCCTTGATGATCTGTCTAGTTCTGTCAGTGGGATGTTGAAGTTCCCCAATTCATGTTGTTCTTCCTTTTCTTAGGTCTAGTAGTATTTGCTGTATGAATCTCAGAGCTTTGGTGTTAGGTACATATTTATTTAGGAATTTTATAACTTATTTTTGAATTGACTCCTTTATCATTATATAATGACTATTTTTTTTTCTGTTGTTGATTTAAAGTCTATCTTATTTAGGAAAGAATAGCTACCCCTGTTCATTTTTTGTTTCCATTTGTGTGGAATATTTTTATCCACCCATTTACCTTGAGTCTATGACATTCTTTACAAGTTAAATGGGTTTCTTGGGGACAGTAGATAGTTGGGTTATGTTTTTTTTTTAATCCATTCTGCCAATCTATATCTTTTAAGTGAGGCATTTAGACCATTTACATTAATGTCAGTATTGATAAGTGAGGTATTGTTTCAGTCATTATGTTGATTATCAGCTGTTTGTTTTATTTACTCCCTTGTGTTATGGTTTTATAAGAGCTGTGAATTTTTACTTTAGAGTGTTTGTACACTGGTGACTGTTGACCATTCTTTCTGGTGTTTAGAACATTTGGAGCATGTCTTGTCGGGCAGGTCTACTGGTGATAAATTCCCTTAGTGTTTGTTTGTCTGGGAAAGATTTTTTTTCTCCTTCATTTATGAAATTTAGTTTTGCAGGAAACAAAATACTTGGCTGGTGGTTATTCTGTTTAAGACAAAAGATGAGATCCCAGTCCCTTCTGGTTTGTAAGGTTTCTGCTGAGAAGTCTGCTGTTAGTCTAATAGGTTTTCCTTTGTAAGTTACCTGATGCATTTATATTGCAGCTTACAGGATTTCTCCTTTGATTTGACTTTGGCCAGTGTGATGACTCTGTGCCTTGGGGATGTCCTATTTGCAATGAATCTTCCAGGAGTTTGATGACCTTCTGGTATCCAGATGTATGGATCTCTAATAAGACCAGGGAAGTTTTCCTCCATTATTTCCTCAAATAGATTTCCTATTCATTTCTTTTTTTCTTCTCCCTCAGTGATATCTATGATTCTTATATTTGAGCATTTCACATAATCCCATATTTCTTGGAGACTTGTTCACTTCTCTTGATTCTTTTTTCTTTATTTTTGACTAACTAATGGGATAGTTCAAACCCTTGTTTTAAAGCTCTGAAGTTCTTTTTTTCTGCTTGGTCTAGTTTGTTGTTAAAACTGTCCCTTATATTTTGAAATTCCCTAAATAATACTTTCATTTCCATAAGTTCCATTTTTGAAAAATATCTATCTCTTTAGTGAATTTTTTATACATGTCCTGAATTAGTTTTTTTATTTTTTTGTGCTGGTTTTCAACTTTCTTATCAATCCCATTGAACTTACTTGCAATCCATATTTTGAATTACATATCTGACGTTTCAAAAATTTCCTCTTGATTGGAATGCATTGCTGGAGAGCTAGTGTGATCCTTCGCAGGTGTTGAAACAGCCTGTTTTTTTATATTTCTAGAGTTCTTGTGCTGATTCCTTCTCATCTGGAACCTCTTCCCTTTGCTCAGAAGAGATAGTTTTATGATTCACCTGTTCTCCTCTTCCAGAAACTCTGCTATTCATTGGAAATATGGAGAGTTATGCTTTCTCTTGGCTTGTGCAGGTGGGTACTCACTGTGTGTTGCTGGCAATTTCAGTTGATTGGACCTCAGACCTCTGGGGGAATGTTCAAGCATTAGTGGTGATACACTAGGTTAGGTAATCCCCAGGTCCTGGGTGGCATGTTTGAGTCCTGGGGGACTAGACTGAGACTTGGCTGGCAAACTTGCCCTCAAGCCTCCCTGAGTTCAGCCACTGGCTATGATGGCAAAGGATGGGGTGGTCTCCTGGTCTGAAAGAATGCTCAGGCAGGAGTTTGGATGCACTCTGAACCTGCAACAGGAGGGCTGGTTCCTCTTGACAAGATTAATAAAGGTAGGTAGATGTGGCACATGCAAGTGCTCATACCTCCCTCTGTTGGCAGTGACAGCAGTCTCTGTCCTTTGGGTGCACAAAAGCACCCAGATTTCCAACTCCCACCTGGTCCAGGTATCACAGATATGATAGAGGCAGCTCAAGTCACTGTGTGAAGGGCTACCAGATTGGCTGTGGGCTGTGGCTGATATTCTCTGGTGGGGAAGGTGTAGCTGTGTTAAGGGCCTGCCTCCAGAGAGGGAAGGCTCCTCACAGAAGGGAAGGCAACTCAGGGAATGGACTACTAGCCCTGCCCTCCCTCAGCAGAAGTGGTAGTTTTTGCTTCGATGCAGGTAGGGGCAGCAGTGGGCCAGGTGGCCAAGGTCTAGTAGCAGTAGTGTGATAACTCTCCACCCACAGCCCCAAACATGCAGTTCTCAGGCTGGCCTGTTCTCTGCAGCAGCAGTGTCTCAGTACCACTGAGAGAGGGGAGAGCCTGCTGGGGAGCCTGGATCCTGCCCTTCCCAGGCCACGTGGAGAGAGGAGGGACAACCACTCAGGCTGGGTTTTTCCTTGCTCTGGGCTCATGACCCTAAGGAACATTCCAGAAGAGGCTGGGGGAAGAAGGATGCTTCTGCATCTGCCACTCAGCACTCACAGCTCCCATGCAGTGGGGTTCAGGCCGCCTGCCAGGAAGAACAATCCCTGAGGAGGTGAGGGTGGCAGGAATTGGGGCCAATCAGGTATGGAAAGACATTTGGCTCTACGGATGTCCTCACAGGTAAATGCAGCGACAGACAGAAGCCTTCCTTTGATGTGTCCCCTCCCTCCTGTCCTTTACTTCCTGGTGACCTCTGACCACACAACCCAAAGATCAGGCCACCTCCTTCACATGACAATGGGGGAATGGCCAAGCACCCAGGGACAGTGGAGGTGTGGGCTGCCAGGACCGGAGTCTGACGCCACTGTCCCCTGCTGCACTGAGAGTCGTTAGAGCTTCCACTGTGGTGGCAGCAGCTTATTGTTAGTCACCCCCCTTGCTGATTGAACCCCAATTTTGTTAGGGCACCCACCACCACTCTGGCATGATTCGGGGGACAACCTGGCCCTCTCTGCAGGGTCCGCCCATTGCTCTGGGCCAGTCTAAGGCAGGCAGTGTGGCCAAGGAGGCAGAGGGCAGTCTGCTGTGTTCCTGGGAAAGGCCTCACTCCGCCAGGCTCTGGGAGAAGCTGATCCGTGCTGGGGCTGCCACACTCCCAGCTTGTGGCCCCATCATTCATCTCCAAAGCTAGTGGCACCTTCCAGTCTGACTTGGGCCCTCCTGTCTCACTCTCGTAAGGTCCCTTGGGGTCACGCTGGGGTCACCCAAATAATCCCATCTCAAGGCCCTAAATCACATCAGAAGAGCCCCTTACCCAGGAAGTGATACAAACAGGCTCCAGGGATTGAGCTGCTGACAACCTGGGTGCTGTGATTCAACAAGTCACTTGGCCCAGTGACTCCCGCCCCATGTGATGACAGAGAACCGCTGTCCTTGTGGTTCTGGGCATAGGTCATCTGGCTTGACTTGTGACCTGTCTTCTAAAGAACGCTTTAAAAGGCAGGCTGACAACTAGAGTCATCTGTAGAGTGGGCCTCGGGCCACCGTGGCGTCACCTCCATAGGCACGAGAAGCAAAGTGTATCCCATCTGCCCTGACCCCACAGGGCAGCAGCTAGTGTCCCCACAGAGCCGGCACAGAGCTGTGATTGAGAACTGAGCTGCAGCCTGGGTCACCATGCCGGGGCTCTAGGTCTGTCCTTGGGCCTATCAGCTATCTTCTCGAGGACGGGAAGGGAGGCCTTCAGTGGTCCTAGCAAGCAGGCCCTGGCCTCTAATCTTAGCTTTGCCACCTCTGTGTGACTGAGCCAGTTCCTGCCCCCAGCCTCAGCCCACATCTGGTCATCACTGCAGCACCGGGCCCTAACGAGGGACAGACACATGTGCGGCACTGAGCCCGCACCTGGAAGATTATTGCTTAAAGTTGTTAAGTTGTCTTTTTTTTCTGCCCACCCCACTCCCTCAGGTTGTTTCCTCTTGCTGTGGTTAACTTATGCTATGAATGTCCGCTTTAAACCTCATGTTAAAATTTGATCCCCAGTGTTGGAGGTGGGGCAGGTTGGGAGGTGTTTGGGTTATGAGGGCAGATCCTTCATGAATAGATTACTGCCCTCCCATGGAGGTGAGTGAGTTTTTTTATTAGTTATAGAAAAACCCAGTTGTTAAAAAACCCTCAATGTACCGTATCTGATTGTAATACCAACCATTCTCCCATTATTCCTCTATACGCTTTTGCAATCATCTCCTGGCTTTTCTTTCATAGGTTTATCACCTAAGTAGGGCCTTATCATCATCTACATCCAACCCAAAGCATGATGAAGAGAATGTGGAAAGGGCACAACATGACCTTGAAACTGTGCCCCTCGCGTCTGGAACTTTCACATTCCATATCGCACTGCAGGAAAGAGAGAGAAACATGTGCTCTGGAAGAAGAGTGAACAGCAGCAGTCTCTGCCACACTGGGCTAATTGTACTGGTGCCTAACAAATATCAATGATGTGAGAGTAAATAAGATATTGGATGTAACAGCTTATTCCTGACCCCTGAATTTAGTAGGCACCTAAAACAACAATATTTACTTTAGGCCACGCTTATGTGTTTTCATTTATCACATAGGCTGGTATAAAACAAGAGTATAATCATAGAACCTAAAGTAGGCAATAGAGCTATATATAGTACAAAATGTGAAGATTACTTTGTGAACATTTTTCTTATTTGGGTATTAGGCTGTTTTTTGTGTTCTGAGGCACGTTCATTAAATTCACTAAAGACATTGTTCATATTTCACTGATTTTTTACAAGTAGGGAAATTTTGTATAATTTTTAAAAATTCTGACAGATTTTGAATCAAAACATCCAATTCCCAGTCCCAGCTCTCCCACTTATGAGTAGTGATTTGGAGCAAGCCATGAAAATCTGTGGGCAGCAGGCCACTCGACTGTGAAGTGGGAAGTAGGATTCCCTCCCCCGTTCGTCTGTCATTTCTTCCTGAGATGCACAGAGATTGTGAGACGGGGCAGTGCAGAGGAAACTGTGCAAGGCTTTCCTAAAGAGCAATTGTAACACCTACACATGTCTCTATGCTCATATATGCAGCGGCATAATTCACCTTTATGTCAGAGAGAGACTTGGTGATTCCACTGGCCTCCCCCTCACTGAGGAAGATGCGAGGCTCTGCCTCAGATAAGAAACTTCCTCACATTGAGTAAGATTTTAATGATTTTAATATTTAAAAGTACGTATCTCTACAACATGGCCCCTGAATATAAATTACTTCATCTGGTGCTCAGGCGAATTCACAGTGAAACGTCACAATGCTAGAGAGAAACCAACTATGCCACATTTATGGAAAACGTCCTTTCATTCCCAACATGGATATGATGCTAACAAAACCAATTTACAGAGTAATATTGACTATTTAAGACTGTCTTAGGATCATTTTTCATGTCAGATGCAACTAATATGTTGTATTGTGAAACTCTACCTTTATGTCTTCCTCTTTGCCATGTTATATATATGTTGGTGACATATAGTATGTTGCAACAAGTTGCTAGGCATGTAGCAATACAAAACACTTGGTGTGTGTAGTGCATGTGTGTTTAATGTAATGTAATGTAGAAAGTCAGTTTAAAGAAGAGTGCAGAGTGGGCTTTAGTCGATTGTGGGGTTTGAGGCAATTAGGACATGTAGAACTCAAACCCCATTTCCTTCTGGCTTTCATCAGCCTTTAACCAGAGTGCACCATGATCTCACTCAGCCTAAGCTTGCTTAGAGAAAGTTCGCATTCAATAAATTCAGCATGTAATGAGCAAACTTTCTTTCTGGCCTATCCCTATGAGAGCCATTGTCTGTTATCGCACAGAAATTTCAACCTTTCATATTGACTTAGAAACATCTTCCTAGAACATCAGCTTGAGAAAAATCCCATGACTTACCAGTTTTATTTTCACCTGTGACAGCCTCAATAGAATCATAGTTTCATAACTTGTTTACACTTAAAAAAAACCTACAAAAGGATAATTCATTGTCATATACATAAAACACTCAGAATTGATTTCCCTCCCTTTAAGGGAAAATCAAATAAATGCATAATGCTAAAAATTGCAAACTAAAACTATCAACTAAGTTGTATACTAAAAATTTTCCACTCTTAACTTATACATTATGTCTTTATATCTTTTAAACTTTTTTCTCCAATATAATCTTAAAGGATAAAGTCTATTTTAAAGAAAGTGTACCTTTTTGGAAATTGAAACAGATTTCATTTGTATTTTGAGGCTTGTCAAATGAAAGATGGGTGATCCACTTTAATCCACCCTTTGGGCCACCTCAAATCCTGGTAATATATAAAACAGAGTGGATGTGCTTGTACAATATCCACAAAACATTTCAAGTAGCAGAAATATTATTTATCTATTTAGAAACGCTGTTCACTGTAAACAATTCCAGCAAAAGATAAATGAAAATTTAAAAGAATACTAAAAATAAGATCAACTATTTTATAATAATAGAATATTTTCAGTGAAAATCAAGCAAGTCCATATTGCAGCTGGTGATTGGAATTTCCATGGTCATTTCAAACCATAACTCAAGGATTTAGCAAAGCCAAATATCTAAAATCAAACATGCCAACAAACGATTTATGCTAAATTTCATAATATCTAAATATTGAATGGAGATTAGAAAAATGGTAAAATAGTAAATATTGTTACAGTTATCTTAGAAAATGTTTAAATTGTTACTTGATTCAGGGTAAAGACTTTTAAGAGAAATCATCTTTTTTGCTGTTTTCTCAAAGGGAAAATAATACAACATCGTATTCTAGAAAAGAAATGATCATGATTTAGTTTACTCACCAAACATTTCTTTCAAATTATCTTTTATCTCTAAAATGCAATGTGAGATGTTAGTAAAATCCACATGGAAATAGCAAATGAAACCCAACATGAACAGGAGCAATTTGGTTGTTTCCAGGGCCCTAGCCCTCTGGGTTTATCCTGTCTTTAATACCAAATGGCTGAAGTCTCTGTCCTGCTCAGGAAAACCCTGTGATCTCCATAATATTTGTAGTATCTTCAAAGGTGGAGAAGAGTATCATAGATAGGACCTTTAATTTTCTGTCTTTTTACTTCGTAAATTCCTTCTTCCTGACTTTCAGTTACTGCTCATGATGTTTTCCCCTAAAGATGCTCTCCTTTCTCTTCTTCTTCCCCCAAAATGTGGCCACGGTTTTTTCACGTTCACTCCCTAAAACATTATTAATGTATGGCCATTGTGGATTACAAGTTTTATCAAATCTTTATGACAGCGAAGGATAGTTACAGTACTCAACAGAACAGATACAAATTCAATTTGAAATGTAGTTTCTAAATCCTCTTTGGCCATTTGCTACAGAGGCACCTGCCATTTATTGGCTGTGTGTCTCCCTGGGTCTTGGCCTAAGGACATGTCCTGGGCTCCTTTCTCTCCCAGACCCTGTCTGTGAATTACAAGCACCTGAAAATGTTTCAATTTTTTTTTTTCACTTTTCAGTAAAAAAGTGAACTCCTATTGTGAGCCAATTATCTTGCAACTATGCTTAGCTTAACAGACCTCTTCTTTCACAATGAAAAGAATGATCAAACTACTATCTGGATCAAAAAGACCAGAGCAATATACATCCTGAGAGAAGTTAACATATAATGTAGAAACAAAGCATACTCAGTTCCCAAAAGTAATGCTTTCTCATGCAGTATTTCATGCTTAGTGAATAAAAATAATAAAATGAAGTAAAAATAAAGTATACCAGAGAGAGAGGTAGGCTTACAATCAGGAGGCTATTAGTGTATTGGAGGCTTTTTCATGAAGAAACTGTGCGACTTCATGAAACAAATGTATTCTGGTGGTCTACTGTGAGTTATTTTTAATGTACAAAGTTAAATGTGAAATTTATGCCAAAAGAAGATTAATGCATATTGTTTACAAAGACAAAATGGGTTATATATGATAGGCCTTGTGGAGCCTTGCATATCTGTGAAACACTGCCATTTGAAGAAGACAAGATGCTGCCCAAGGAAGATGGAAGACAAGAGGAGAAACAAGTTGTCTGATTCATGTATGCATTGGCATATCGTAAGTCAAGGAAAAGAACACCATAGATACCACCAACACATTGTCATCCTAGGTTTATTTCACTTGAAAATTTGCAAAAGCATCCATCTTTTCCAGGAGATAAAAAGAAAGTCCATAATGGCAGTGGAAAAAAACAGAGATTAAAACTTCCTTAACTTCATCATAACAGGAAAAATGATGAAAAGGGGAAAATGTGCAAATTATGGGGAAAAAGGAAAACCTATATTAAAAAAGAGTTGGAAACATAACTGAGAGGATACTCAACTAAACATCATCATGATAAGACACAATAAGAAAAAATATTACCTCCTAAACTGTTGTAATAAAATACAGAGGCTCCCTGCCCTGTAACTACAGACATCCAGAGATCAGTTTCTGATCAAAATTTTGTCCTACTCAGGATTTTTCTCAGGGCAACTTTAACATCTTTATTCCTCAAACTGTAGATTAAGGGGTTCATCATGGGAACCACATTGGTATAAAAGACAGAAGAGATTTTTCCCTCATCCATAGACCCAGCAGAAGATGGTTTCAGATACATAAACGCACATGATCCAAAGAACAGAGAAACAGCAATTATGTGGGAACTGCAGGTGCTGAAAGCTTTGGACCTGCCTTCCTTGGAGCTGATGTGAAAGATGCTGGAGAGAATACAACCATAAGAAATAAAGATGGTGAGACTGGGCACAGTGATGTTGATGCCCCCCACAATGAAAACCACCATCTCATTAACATAGGTGCTGGTGCAGGACAGCTGAAGCATGGGAAAGACATCACAGAAATAATGGTTGATGGTGTTTGCGTCACAGAAGGTCAGTCTCAGCATGCACCCAGTGTGGGCCATGGCACCAGAGAAGGCCATCAGGTATGAACCAAGCATAAGGTTGCAACACACTTTAGGGGACATGGCAATGTTATATAAAAGTGGGTTACAGATGGCCACATAGCGGTCATAGGCCATTGACATCAGCACATAGCATTCAGAAATGACAAGAAAACAGAAAAAGAAAAGCTGGGTCATGCACCCTACGTAGGAGATAACGTTTTTCTCTGATATGAAGTTCATCAGCATTTTAGGTGCAAACACAGAAGAATAAAAGAGGTCTATGAAGGACAAATTAAAGAGAAAAAAGTACATGGGGGTGTGAAGGTGTGAACTCAGCCCAATTAGAGTTACCAAGCCCAAATTCCCCAACTCTGTAACAACATACATTGCTAGAAACAGGAAGAACAAGGGCATTTGGAGATCTGGCTGCTGTGTTAATCCCATAAGAATGAATTCAGTCACAAGAGAGCCATTTCCAGGAGCCATTCTTCTCTAAGAGGATCTGTGGACACAGGAAAACATTGTGGCATTAGAGGACAACCCAACTCTTACCACAAAGCTGCTCCCATAAGAGCTGTGTATATGCTGGGGTTATGTGAGATTAGAACAACCTGGACCCACAGAATCTGCCGTTACCACTACCACAATCCTGACTGATGCCAACTTCCTCTTACGAGAGTCTGACTAAGCTACATACAGCAAACAGTGCCACCAACTTAGCCTATAGCATGAAGGCTGAGGCTACCAGAGGCAAACATGACTGCTAGAAATAAGAGGGGATTAGAGGGAAGAAGGGTGGACCAGGACAGAATCATCCTCCTCTCATCTCATCATTTCTTCATTCACCTCATCCCTCCCATCACCAGTGAAATTGGAGCCAGAGAGGGGCCTTAGCAACTTTGTGAGGGATTCTAATGCAGATAAGTCTGTTGGGTGGAAGCTAAAATATTGTTTCTAATCCACAAGTAGGGGACCAGAGTCCAGGAGAGGTTGAGTTACTGCCCCAAGTGATACAAGGAAAGCCCTACATCTAGAATAGAGAGTGTTCTCTCTGTGGAGAGGGAACTCACTGACTAGATGCTGCAACCACTGGGTCCACTAATGTCTGGACATTCTCTGCTCCCCCTTGAACAGATTCTTCCAGCACCTTCATCTGAATCTGACAACTGTATAATATAAGAAAGAACGTGACCTATCTTAGATCTATCTCTTAGATGCATGGAATTCAAAAACTCACCCTCCTTAGATGAGAAATCCTTGGTTGTTCCTTAGTCTTGTTATTAACCAATCGTGGTCCTCGAAGGGAAATTTCAGGCTCTGAAACTTTGGTTGCTTTGATACTAGGAAGGTGCAGTCCGCCTTTAAACTCCAATATGCCCTGGAAATCATTATGTTCAACAGATCATGATTTCTGATTATGACTTTGAGTCCTCTTATACAACAGAGAAAAACAAAGTATTATTGTCACATTTGCCACTAGATAAGACACAGAAGATTTCATGTGAGTTTGCTGATACAATGCACCTGGTTATAAACAGGATAGAAATTTCTGTGTCTCCTCCCAAGAGAACGACTTGTAGATCTAAAAAGAAAATAAAGGAATTGTATTTACACCCTGCACCGTGATCTGCAGTTCCTCAGGGGCTCACAATTTTACTCAAGTCTTCCCTTCACCCTTGGGCTTGTACATCCCCCAAGACAACAAATATGAACTCCCATCTCCCCATCATCTTTATATCTTATGGGAAATATATTGCTTTGAATCTTTCTCTCTTTCTGCCCACTTCCTAAATGGACATTTTCCACAAGTTCTACCTCCATGTTTTCTACATTTTTATCTCAAATTTTGCAAGAATTGCAATAACTCATTTGAGTTGTTGTTTCTCATGGAATATCAGAGTTTTTGTTTTAATTCATTTCTTCCTTCTAATGTTTTTACTTCTAAACACCTACTGGAAATTTCTTCCTGGGGACCCTGCTGAGAATATAAATGTAATAACTAACATGAGAGTTATTAATACTCAAACTCTCTGTGCTTCAGGTTCATGATTGCTAAAAGAAGGAGAGTAATAATAGCATCTCTTTCCTTGGGCTCTTATGACAATTAAATAAAACACTATAAGTCAAATGGTTAGAACTATGTGTGGCACATGGTAAATAGTTAGTAAAAGTCAGCTGTCATTATTTATATTCCCATAACCTTGGTAGACTTGGTAGGTCCTCCATCATTGCACCCATAAGATATTAGTTTCTTTTTATTCCTCTTTCCCTATAAACTATAAATTCTGTAAGCACAAAGATCACTTTTGCCTTGTAGACTACTTTGCTGATAGTGCTAAGTACACAGCAGACTACACAGTAGCAACTCCTTAAATGTTTATGGAAATTGCATTCTGACTGAAAACCTTCAGAAGATTTTCTATATTTCTCACATGCTAAGAATAGACTCTACAGACACAGTGACCTCCATCTCTTTGCCTAGACTGCCACACAAGTTCAGGCACTCTTTAGGTTTTAACTGAACTGTACTATTGAATTGTAGGGGCTCCTAACTCTTATGCTAGCATTTTCCCACATGATCCCTCTTATTTATCCATCTGCACTGCTGCTACAATCAGATCTGAAAGTGAAGACCTGTCTCTTTCTAGTTCTAGAATTTCCCATAGTTCTCCATTACCCACTCACATTACCCATATCCTGGAAATCCTGATAATAATGTGCATGGATATAATGGACAATTGAGGCCATATAATAAATGTATGAGATTCAAAACTATGATGATTCAGCCAGGTTTAAAACTAAAGAAGAAATTGAGTCTTCTTTAAGAAGTTTTGTAGTTGATGAGAAGCTATGAAAAAATTATTCTGACTGTTTAAGTATTTTGAGCACTTGTTCATTTCAAAACCCATTTAAATTAGGAGAATGTAACAATAAAATCTGGAGATGGAGTGCCCCAGGTAGTTTCAACAACTAAACGCTCTAATCAAGGACCAGGCTTTTCCATTTCCCTGTCCTCAGTCTGTTGGCCTCAGTCCTCAGGCTTATCACCTCATAGTTACAAAATAGCTGCTGTAGCTCTAAAACTCACATGTAAACACAACTATGTCCCAAAAATAAAGCCAGACAAAAACGCAAGAGAACTCCCCTCGTGTAACTCCCTATATATTATGAAATAAACCTTCTTGAAGCCAATAGATGACTCCCCTTGATTTCTCTTCAGTTATGGGCTATGTATATGGCCACCCTAACTGCAAGGAAAAGTAGCAAAATGAATCTTTCCCATTTTTAACCTCTATCATGAAAGGACATTTTGGGCATTAAGGAAAAAGGGAGAAGGAGTATCTATTGGGGAGGGCACCAACCATATCCTCACAAACTAAAAGCTTGTGAAAAATGTTTGTAATAGGAAGTTGTGTTTATTCAATTTAGCTAAAAAGTATGCTTGTTATTTTTAGGTGATGACTCTTGTTATTTTTAAAGTAAAAAAGTATTATTTTTAAAGAATATACTTGTTATTTATTTACTCTCTTAATCTTTAAATTAATTCACATGTCTTTGGATAATCAATCCAAGACATGAGAATTGGGTTAATTATATGGTTCTTCATTCCTCTTCTTAATATTTATAAAAGTATTTACATATATAAATGTATATATAAATCTAAACATATAGATAATAAAACACATAAAAATATGTGCATGAAAAATAGATATATATAAATATACATTTATATACACTTTTATATCTGTTGAGGTGGGAGGAAAGGCATTCTGTTCTTATATCAAGAGGGTTCTTTCGTCTGTCAAAAAGCAAAAAATGAGTGTTCCCTTATTAGTCAAAAAGATTCTCTGAGTGTCTTCAAACTGCTTAAAGTAAGTAGTGCCTCTAAGCACAAAATAATGACTTGTAGAACCATAATTATGGGGCTTTTTGGATATGGTGTTCCCAAGCAAGAGAGATGAAACAGACCAATTAGGCACTGAACTTTCTTTGCATTGACATTAAGATTATTTCCTTTGGCATGTTAGTTTGATGTTTAAGTTTGAATGTTATTCTTTGCTATGTATCTCTTGTTTAGTTTCTTGGATACCGATCTGATCTTAGGGATGTCACTTAATCTATCACCAACAGTTCTAGGTTAAAGCTGAGTGGGTGGAAAAAGGGTGAAGTTAAGAAATGATGTCGAGATGGAAACTTAGTTTACTGGTAAAAAGCACACATAGCTAAACTTAGTGTTGTTTAAATAAAAATACAAATTCAAAACACATATTTTTTATCCTTACTGTTACATCTAGAAATTTTACTAATGCTCATTTATTTAAATAAATAACATATTTGAATTTTAAAATGAGAATTCCTTTTTTAAATCTGATGAATCTCAGTACTTATTTAAAGCTCCTTAAATAATACTAATATGTGAATGAAAAATAATCTGAATGAATTAAATCAGAAAGGTTCAACATACCTGACATCATACATCAGACCCCAGTGACTTGCTAGGACCACTTGGCAGCCTCAGACCTGTAGCTCAGCAACTATTTATTTTTGAAAGAATTCATTAAGCACCTATGAGGTACAAAAACCTGAGGACATATTTAAAAAGTAACATTCTATCTTTAGAGACCTTATACTTTAGTAAGGGGTATAGATATTTTTGTGGTAGAGATGCATAGCACATTACCAGTTAGTTGGAAGCTGAGGACTTCAATCAAGTACTCATTCATTGAGGCTCATGTGAATTAAATATAAAATCTAGCTAAAACATTTAGATTATAACAGATTAGTTTGATTTTGACACTAATGCTTTATTTGATATATAAATATGTCAATGGGCTACATACACATGTATGTATGTATGTATATGTACATGTAACTTGTAGCTAAGTCAGTCACCCCTGAATGCCTGGTGACTCCACAAGAGTCAGGACTATATCCAGTTGGCTCCATAAATATCAAAGTGGACATCCCTCTAGGGAAAGCTAAGGCAAGACTTGTACATTCTGAGACTTGCTGAAAGTATGTATTTCCTGTGTGACCAGGCATGAAAGGACCAGTTTGGTGAAACACCACCCACCAAACTCAGGGAGGATGCATCTACTGAATTAAAAATGTTCAAAATAGTAAAGTCTTACTTTACTCCATTTTCTCCTCCATTATCTTGAAAAAGAAGATGGCATTAAAATATGTTTTTCTTCTTTGACGTTCATTTTTCATACATACTCTAAGTGTGTTCTCTGTGCAAAGGTCCACTCATTTTGAGAGAAAAGGATCTGCTTCTACTTGCACTTTATTCAGATTAACAAATGCATGTGAACAATATTTATAATACAATGTGATGCATGCTGCGGGAGAAGAAAATATCGATGGAGTGGAAGCCAGAGCAGGAAACTCTTATCCAGTCTTAGGCAATCAGAAAGTGCTTTGAGGAAGATAAGACCAGTAAGTAATAGGACAGGGAAAAGGAGGAAGTAGTGGATCCAGAAAGGGGGGCTGATATGGCAGCAGTATCCAAAGACTTAGATCATAACACTAAATTCCCTTTGATTACCTGGAAAGCTTTTTCAAGAGGATGGGTTCAAACAAGCCCATACTGTGAAGATTAGATTAAATATCTAACTCTTCAATGCTCAGACATTGACAAACATCAACACACATAAAATCATCCAGGAAATCATGACCTCACCAAATTAACTAAATAAGGCAGAAATTCTAGAGCTGAAAAATTCAGTTGACAAAATGAAAAACACACCAGAATTTCTCAGTATGAGAATTGATCAAGCAGAAGAAAAAATTAGACAGGCTATTTGATAATACACAACCAGAAGAGAAAAATAGAAAAGAATGAATCCCACCTACAAGATCTAGAAAATAGCCTCAAAAAGACAAACCTAATAGCTTTTGGCCTTGAAGATGAGGTGAAGAGAGTGGTGGGGTTAGGAAGTTTATTCAAGTAAATAATAACAGAGAAATTTTTAAACCTAGAGAAAGACACCAATATTCAGATACAAGTAGGTCATAGAACACCAAGCAGAATTAACCCAAACAAGACAAAGGTCAAAGATAAAGAAAAGGTCCTAAGGGAAGCAAGTAAAAAGAAAATATATATATGCTCCAGTATGTCTGGCAGCAAACTTTACAGTGGAAACTTTATAGGCCAGGAGAGAGAGACATGACATGTACAAAATATAAAGCAAAAAACCAATGCTAGAATATTATACCTTACAAAAATATTCTTCAAACATGAAAAAGAAACCAAGACATTTCAGAGAAACAAAAGCCGAGGTTTTCATCAACACCAGAACTGTCCTACAAGAAATACTAAAAGACATTTCTTTAATCTGAAAGAAAGGGACATTAATGAACAATAACAAAATATCTGAAGTTATAAAACTCACTGGCAACAGTAAGTACACACATACAAAATACTCCCTTGTTGTAACTGTTGTGTATAAACCATTTACACCTTAATTAGGAAGACTAAAAGAGAACTCTATTGAAATTAATAAATATAACAATTTTTTAAGTTAATGTATAAAAAGATACAAATGGAAACAATAAAAAATTAAAAAGCAGGGAAAGAATGGAGATAATGTGTAGTTTCTCTTAGATTTCTCTTGGCATCTTTGTTGTTTTGTAAGCAGAAAGAAGTTGTCATCTGTTTAAAATAATTGATTATAAAATGTTTTTCATAAGTCTCATGGTAACTTCAAATTTAAAAACCTACAACAGATACACAAAAAATAAAAATTAAGAAATTAAAACACTAACTACCAGAGAAAATCACTTTTACACAAAGGAAGACAGGAAGGAAGGAAGAGAGGATTTCAAAAGACTGATAAATCAAATAACAACATGGCCGTAGTAAGCCCTTACATATCTATAATAACATTGAATGTAAATGGACTATACTCTGCAAACAGAAGACATATAGTGGCTGAATGGATAAAGAGGAAGACTCAACTATGTGTTGTCTACAAGAAACCCACTTCACCTATAAAAACACAAATAGACTGAAAATAAAGAGAAGGAAAACGATGTTCCATGAAAATGAAAACCAAAAAAGAGTAAGAATAGCTATACTTCTATCAGATAAAAAGATTTTAAGACCAAAACTATAAAAAGAGACAAATAAAGTCATTATATAATAATAAAGAGGTCAATTCAGCAAGAGACTGTAACAATTGTATATATTTATGCACCCAACACTGGAGCACCCAGATATATAAAGCAAATATTATCAGAGCTAAAGAAAGAGATAGACCCAATTCAATCATTTTTGGAGATCTAGGCCCCCACTTTCATCACTGTACAGATAATTCAGACAGTAAGTCAACAAAGAAGCACTGGACATAATCTTTACTATAGAACAAATGGACCTAATAGATATTCATAGAATAAGTTATACAACAAATGCAAAATACATGTTCTTCTCCTCAGCTCATGGATCATTCTCAAGGATAGACCATATGATAGGCTGCAAAACAAGTTTCTAAATATTCAAAAATATTTAAATCATATAAAATATTTTCTCTGACAACAATGGAACAAAACTAGAAATCAATAACAAGAGGAATAAAATATTGGAAACTGTACAAACACATGGAAATTAAACAACATGCTCCTGAATGACCAATGGATCAAGAAAGAGATTAAGAAGGAAATTTAAAAATTTCTCAAAGCAAACGAAAATGAAAACACAACATACTAAAAAACCTATGAGATACAGTAAAAGCAATAGTAAGAGGAAAGCTTATAGCAATAAGTGCCTACATCAAAATAGTACAAAAGCTTCATGAAAACAACATAACAATGTTATCTTAAAAGAATTGAAAAACAAGAGCAAACCAAACCCAAAATTAGTTGAAGGAAAGAAATACTAAAGATCTAAGCAGAAATATATGAAATTGAATCAAAAAAAATCTGAAAGAACAATAAAACAAAAAGTTGGTTTTTTTGAAAAGATGAAACCCACAAACTTTTAGTGAGACTAACTTAAAAAAGAGAATATACCCAAATAAATATAATTAGAGATGAAAAAGGAGACATTACAACTGATACTGCAGAAATTCAAAGGATTATTACAAACTACTATGAGCAAATATATTCCAATAAATTGGAAAACCTCAAAGAAATAAATTTCTAGACACATACAATCTACCAACATTGAACCAGGAAGAAATCTAAAACCTAAATAAACCAGTAAAAAGTAATGAGATAGAAGCAGAAATAAAAAGTCTCCCATCAAAGAAAAGCCCAGGTCCTGATGGCTTCACTGATGAATTCTACCAAGCATTCAAAGAAGAACTAATACCAATTCTACATAAACTATTCCAAAAAATCAAGGAGAAGTGCATACTCCCAAACTCATTCTATGAGGCCTGTATGACGCTAATACCAAAAGCAGACAAAGACACACAAAAAAGAAAACTATAGACCAAATCTACATATATGTAAAA